CCTAAAATCTCGGTTGGCCTGACTGACTTAAGAAATGAATAAAGGGAAGTCCTATGACTTTATTAGTGATAGAAACCAATAAAAGAGGATTTGTCTATAATAGCAATATTAATAATCAAGTTATAATTGGACGTCCCCACTTACATTACTAATAAACAATAAATTATTACAATGAAATAAAATGAATACAGGTATAAGATTTATGAGTATCGTTGAATTTGATAATCTGACCTGGGCATAACTTTAGTGATCGAACGAGAACTGGTGTATACAACCCCTTCAAACGTTCGACGGAAACAACACAGACTCAATTATATAATCGATCTCACGCACAGTAAATCCACTGTAATCTTACACGCGCCACGATACCGCAAAAGTCGCGGGACAACTCGTGGTGGCACCGATGTGTCTAATCAACTAGACCATGCACTGGTTATAACTAATAAATAAGGCGACGACTGTCACCGGTCAGCGAACGGCTTCCTAACAACTATGTGCAACAGGTTTCGTTTGGGTTGGAAGTTGAACGCGGCCACATATAACTCGCCGCAACATGAATAATTATTGTTAATCATTGAATAATAATTAATAATTAATAATTGAATAATCATTGAAACAGACTTTATCATTACTTGTCCCTAAATTATTAAATCTGGAATTATGCTGATATTGATTATAATAATAATTATTACTAAAAGATGAAAAATTTCTATCGTTATTAATAACGGTTATTATTATAACTTATAAAATTAATAAAATCGTGTAATTGTTCTTGGTTATGTTTTAACTTTATTTTTAATTATTACAATGATCTAAATACGAAAAAATATTAATAAAGCAAATACACATAAATAATAACTATACATATTTGTATTAATTTATGTAAATGCGCTATACATAGAAAGTAGTAATAGTATAAAGCTCATACAGTAAATAAGTTATTTTTGTTCAAGTACAATAACTTATGATGTTGCTTACACGTTTCATATTCGTTTTTTTATTAATATGTCTTACTATTAGTTCTTGTTATACAAACGCATCAGAAAATGAAGTTGATATTATTAATAGAATTATTAAATCTGAAGGATGGAATTCTATAACTGGTATTTATTTTAAAAGCAAAACAGGTAATTATGTACGAAATATTAAAGAATATCTTTCTGATAATCATGTCACTAAAGAGTCCTTAGACACTACAAAATATTATATTTCAGCAGTATTAAGTTGCTTTTACGGAGATATATTATCGAATATACATCATTTTTATAGGATTATATCGCCTTATTATAGTCGTCTCCAATTTTACGAGTATAAATTGGAAAAATTAATAAAATTAATCAAAACTATTTTTATGTTTAAACCATTAATGAAATGTATGGCCAATGCAATAGAATATTTTAATAGTATATATCCGAATACTGTACTCGATATTCTAAAAAAATCATTAACATTAACTAAAGAACTGGCTACTTATGAAAACTTGGAAAATCCAGACAACACATATAATCTAGATAGCATAATTAGTAAAATTCATGACATTATTGAAATACCCAGAGAGCACATACTCCGAGATGACAAAGTTGTTATTATAATAAAACGTGAACCATTCGTAAACCAATATTTTGAAGAATTAGTAAAAATTTTTGATGCCGAGAAAGAAAATTGGACCGAGTCTTATGAATCAGAATATCAAAAACTTGCTCAGGATGGTGTTGACTTATTATGCAATAAATTTGAATTTGCCCAATAGGTGGTATAATACATAATATATATTTTTCTTTATTGTTCTTTTCTTACTTTGTAATCTACAAACAATAACTATTAATTAAAATAGTGTGTCGTCACCTCAAAAAAAAAAAAAATGGTTTTAACTCCAATTTTTTTCGAGGAATATTTAAAAAAAATAAATTAATAGCTTTATGATAGTTGTGTTTTTAAGAACTGTCTACTGAAAATTTACCGATTTAGTGTTAGAACAATTTCATTTTTAGGTAACGATGCATTAAATACATTTTTAATTTAACTCATACAAATATATTTTTGAATTCAAAACACACTTATATTAAATTATTAGAAGTACTTTTTTTATATATTATCACTACTCTATCAGTAAAAAAAATAAAAAAATGTGAAAATTATCTTAATTTTAATAAATTGATTACAGTTACTCATATTCTAAATGTTTTTTTAACTCTCAATTACAAATAATACTCATAATTTATGATTAGATATAAGGACTAGTATAAACAACATTTATATCAAGAGTTCTCTTATATTAATATATGATCCCTATAAATGAATACCTATAATGATTAACCTAATAAATTTTAATAATACTAAAAATTATGAAAGTATATATTCTAAAGTAAAAAACTGACTTAAATCAAATTTTAAAATTAAATCAAAACATATTAGGATTCAAACTACAGGTATTTTTTTAGTTTCGATGCGAATCTGAGAAGGTATTAATTTTACTGTGTTTTTTTTTGTGTGTCTGTGACCATTTATTCACGGCACTCATTTTTAATGAACAATATTTCAAAAGATCACAATTCGTATCTAGTCGAAGAAGATACTACCCTCAAAAATTGCAAAATTTCCCTCTTTTCTCGTAAATGGCGGAAATCCCCCCCAAAAAATTACAAATTTAAAAATAAGTTAAATACGGCTACATATTCCTACCGCCGCGGAGTTTATACCTCAGGTATAACGTTAGTCCGACCCGCCCGCCCACAAAACACGGCTATACCTAGTGCATGATACGTTTACGTACTTAAGTCGCATTATTTGTATATATATATATTCTAATTACTATTAAAATTTATATGTTAACACGCTTTATTCTAATTAAGAGATATAAAGTATTTATTCCGATTACGAGGGATGATTTCCGTATCGTCATTTTTCGTCACTATCTCCACGTTCCGGGAGTGAGTAATTTAGCGCCTGCTGCATTCCTTGGATGTGGTAGCCGTTTCCCTGACTCCCTCTCCGGAATCGAACCCTGATTTACCGTTACCCGTTACAACCATGATATTGATAGTAACTACTGTCATAACATGAAACTAAAAAGTGAAAAATAAATATAGTTTAAAACTACTAAAAAACACGCTTTTAAAACACATCAAACTAAAAAGTAAAAAATAATTATTTTAAGCTTATTTTAAAAATTATTTTTAACTTTTTAGTTCGATGTGGCTTTAAAAGCGTGTTTTTTTAATCTATATTTATTTATTTTTTACTTATACGAATCGCGTTACCAATTTTAAATACTTTTCGCGTAATATTCGAGTAATTCGGTAAACGATAAAACCGTGCTGTCTTGGGATTTTTCGATGTTTGTGTTGGTGTTTGATGAATAGTATTGTTATAATCATTTGTTATTGTTTGTAAAATTAACAACCATTGGTAAGATCTTGAAGCGGTAAATTTTTTCCACATGCGTTCTTTAAGTGTACGGTTAAAACGCTCGATTACCTATGCTTTCACCGCCGAATATGTTGGAAAATGTTTAATACTTCTCTGTTGTAAAAAAGTTTTCAGATCTTTGTTGAAAAATTCTGATCCCTTGTCTGTTATTATGTACAATGGATATCTATTACAGTTGTTTATTATTGATTCAAAAGCTGCAGTCACAACTTTACCGGCTTTATTTTTTAAAGGTACACACCATGCGTAATTAGTATACACATCTATCACAGTAAGAATAAAAGTAAAGTTTTTATTCTTGTTACTATACTTTCTCATATTGACGAGATCCGCTTGCCACGTGTTGTCTTTAGCGTAAGGCGTTACGATACGTCTCGGAAATTTCTTTCTTGCTTGTGCGTGCAACTTCTCCGCTATTTGCTCTTTAACAGTTTTCATTTTATTACTCCGTTTTCTCTAAGTTCTTCTTCCAGGGATATTATTTCGTTATATACTCCCGTATTACCGGCACGCTTAGATCCGTGTGAAATAGCCTGACGCTGTACTAATTCATTTATATCGTCCCAATATATGTATTCTTTTCATTTATTTGATACAGATAAAAACGGTAGTCCGCCACCAAACTTTTCATGTTTCTATGTACTCTAGTGTGTATGAGACAGTTTTTATACGTTATCATATCCTCAGAAGTGATTAAATCGACGTTAGACATCTTTTTAAATAACAATTCGTGTAATCCTTTCGTCAATAGCACTTGTTTTAGACTACCGATCTTAATATTACTCATATGTTCATCATTGATTACCATTTTATCACCCATTTTAAAGTTTCCATCGTCATTAATGGCTACACCGTACACCGCATCAAAGTTTGATTGTTGTTGACATTGTTGTAACGGTTTAGACAATACGATCGTTTTATTTTTATCAATTTCATCGTATTCCTCGCCATCGTTTTGTTTTGCATCGTTTGATTTACGTTTTTTAAATTAATTTTTTGTTTGTCGTGCAATTTCTTCTAGAGGTTAAACGATAGGTGTCGCATGCTTTCGAACAAACTCTCTAGTTTTCTCAACACCACGTTTAAGTTTCAGTAATTTTTTCCTAATACTTTTTTTAGTTTTTATAATACTTGATGTTATATTCTCCTCCGACTCCATTTTGTATTAATAATCAAGTGTCTAAAAATCAGCTCTTTTTATATAAAAAAATTTCAAATCTCCCAGAGTTCCAGCATTTAGCACACATTTCTTTAAATTCTATAAAACTCATATTTGACAAACAATGATCATCGTATATGTGATTTAAATTAGTTTCTTTTTGTTTGTATAAAATAATCATATTCGTATTGTCTCTGATGAGTTGTTTTGGTATACGAGAATACGTCTGCGATAAGTAAAATATGTCGATACCGTTGTGTCGAGAACAATTAAATTTCAAAACTTCCAGAGTTAACAAAGGAGAGCTTAACTACTATTTTAAATTTTGGTTATACACTTGTAATATCACCTCCAATACCTCCTAAATATCAATCATAATTTCTTACCATCATTTTATTGTTTCTTTTTTCTTTTTTCTCTTCCCCTCTCTTTTAAATGTTTATAGTTCTAATGATACACTAATTAACTATCTAATTAAAAGTATAAAAAAACTACACAAAGCAAAAAACCATTTAATCAAGATGGCTCAATCAAATGGAGTATTCCATCTTCCTGTAAAAAAAAAAAAAACTTGATTGGAAAGAAACTCGACTAAGCAGAAATGGAAACCACACAAGGAAAGAATAATAATAAAATGGATATCATAAAACCAACTCTACACTTCATTTATCAAAATTAAACAGCTAAATATTTTTAATATTATTGTATATTTGTCTTAATCCTGTACCATTTCAGATTAATTTAGAAAAATATATACTTGCATATACATAATAATAATAAAATAACTTTAAATTTAAAATTATTATTATAATGATTGTAATTTAACAAAAAGTAAATTTTCATAAATCAGTCCAATAATTTCCTATCCTTTATAAATAAAACAATAAAAAGTTAAAAATAAATCGATTACAAATAATCTTTATACATGGATGTTAATAATAAAATATCATGTAAAGAAGTGAACGTGTTTATTAATGATAAATAAGATACTTGATTAAAAGTAAACACACAAAAAAAATGTTCCATTCACTGTTTTAATGATATATTTAACTTTCACTACACAAAAATTCCAATTTTTCTTTTCCTCATTCCCTCCTTTTTATCCTTTATTATGGAAATTTACTAATTTAAAATATGATTACATTATGAATTTTATAAAAAGAAAAACAAAATATTTTAGTATATAAGACGAAATGGAATGGTTTGAATGGAGAGAAGATCTCGGGAGTACCGAAGGTAATATCTTACCGCGTAATACGTTTGTGATTTTAAGTTTTCTTTTTATGTATTATTTATTTATCCTGTTTTAAATGTATCATTATTTTATATGTTTTACTTTGTTTGATTATATCGTTATTAATTACATTTGCGTTATTATTGAACTATTATAACTATAAGTTAGAACAAAAAATTGTTTCATATTTTAATACAACACACTCGATAATCGCAATGGAAGATATTCTGAACATACACGAAAAACCGTACTTCGAAGAAAGTATAACAAAATTTGAATAGCATTCGTATCAACCATTTTCTAGTAACGCGCTGTCGAATAACGATGAAATACGAATTGCGATACAACATCAAGATTTGTATACTCTCCCCAGCGAATCTTTGTTACACATTGAAGGTGAAGTTGAAAGAAATATAGAAACAGGTAATGGAGAAGCTCTATTAAATAATTTAAAGATGGCATTATGTTCCTATTTGATGAAATTCGTTACGAATTAAACTCACAGTTTGTCAGTTGAAATTGATAAAGTAAGAAATCCTAGTATTACAACATGTATGAAAGGTTATGCGTTTTTTCAAACGGCGAAACTTTACCGATATCAAAATGCTGGATGGAATGAAAATGGTGAATCTAGAGAAAAATTCGAAGTGTGCATACCTCTCAAAGTAATTATGGGATTTGCGGAAGATCATCGTAAAACAATAATAAATTCCCGACAAGAATTAATATTGCTTAGATCCAGCGTATCGGAATAGTAAAATAAAAATTTCAAAAATAATGTAGAGAATACCTCATTCATATAAACGTAGAAGACAGTGTCAGATTGAAACTGTTGAAGACTTTAGATTCTCGTAAACCACTTTACATCGCTTTTAGAAGTTGTGAATTATTTGAACATCCATATTTACCACAAACTACAAAACATTCGTGGGCGGTTAAAACATCAACGCACACGGAAAAACCTAGACATGTGATTATAGGATTTCAAACTAAACCTAAAAACAAAATATCAGCTGACATGAGTAGATTCGATCACTGTTCTATGACATCACTCAAAGTATTTTTGAATTCGGAATGATATCCTTACAATAGTTTAAACATTGATTTCGATAACGATAAATATTCAGCATTATATCAAATGTATTCATCGTTTCAAGATAGCTTTTATAATATTGATAATGGTGATCCGATTTTTACTAGAGAAGAATTTAAAGATACCGCTCCTATGGTTGTTATAGATTGTTCTAAACAAAATGAAAACATTAAGAGTGCTCCCGTTTGCGTTCGAATTGAATTCGAAACTAAAATTCCTATACCAAATGATACATCAGCATATTGTCTTATACTACATGATAAGATTTTCGAGTATAACACTATGACTAGTAAAGTACACAAGGTAGTTTAATTTATGAAATAAAAAATTAATATAAGTATAATATTTTTTATTATTTAAAACAATTATTATACGTAATAATAATATTACATTTATAAATTTATTTATTACAATTATTATTAAAATACTTATTTAACTTCTGTTTCTTCCAGTGTGTTTCATAATTTTTGAACACGTATAGAGATAATTCATCAATCTCTCGAGCACATTCTTCGTCATCAAATTCTACATTCCAACTCCTAACGTCTTCTGATCACGATAATAATTTTATTACTATTTAAAACAGATTTAATTTTTTTTTTACTTACTTATCATTTCTTGATAATCTGGTGGTTTTTATATCATCAACATACGTTCCCTGTGTTATTAGATCCATCAAATCTTCCTCCGTATCGAAATTTAACCATGGTTGTGTTCCAAGATGAAGACAATTTCCATCAACTGATTCATTATTAAACTGATTCTACTATTATAATAGAAACATGAAAAATGTTTAAATAAATATTAAATATTAAACACATTGATTTTATTAATATTCCAAAGGAGAATATTACATTTAATGTTTAATGATTTTAATTGTTTGTATGGATAAAGCTGGTTAAGCTACTTGTTATTTGATTAAGGGATTTTTTTCAAATTTTGAGAGTAATATCTTCAACTAAATACGAATTGTAATCAATTGACGTATCGTTGAAAAAAATAAGTTAAGTGAGGGTTTCATGGCCACAAAAGAATCACACAGTAAAATAATATTAACATGAATAAGAAATTTCTTCTTTTTTAGTTTTTTCGAACTTTATTTTATGTCAATTAAATTATATAATATTTATGAAAGTCAGTGTATTGCCTTTATAAGATATTTTAAAATAAAATAAAATACAAAACCCATGATTTTAACACAAAAATAGCGTTTTTTTAACTACGGCAGCCGTTTGCATGCAAAAGATAAAGTGTCGGGACAAATTTTTTTTTTTATTTTAGAGTACATAAAATAATTTTTAATTTGATATATATTTAAAGAACGAAGTATTTCCGGAACATTTTCAAAAATTAAGTTGAAAAAGTTAGTTTTTGTTAAAAAGTTACAATTTTAAATCCCCCCCAGTGAGCAGATTATGAGTAAAATTTTCAAAAAAATGATATCAAAAGAAATGGAAATATCTAACGTTTTAGTTTAAGAAAAAATAATGCTAATTTGTAGATTTTTGAAAAAGTTATGGAAGTTTTAAGAAAAAAAAATGACAAAATTTACCGATTGTTAAATTTGTAATTTTTTTGGAGAATTCCTCCATTTGCAGGGAACGAGAAGAATTTTTTCAATTTAAAGGGTAATGTCTGCAACTAAGTTTGATTTGTGATTTTTTGACGTATTGTTGAAAGAAATCGGTCCAATGAGAGCTGAGAAAAAGTGGTAACAGATAAAAAAAAAAA